GTGCTGTGGGTGGGGGGGGGGGGGGGGGGGGGGGGGAAGGGAGGCGCCACTAGGACCCAGAGTGTAGAAAATTGTGTGCTGCTGGTACATATGTATTCTCTCTGCTCTAGATGCACAGAGATGGTGGAGTGCTGTGCTGGAGGAAGGAGGGCACAAGAGACATAACAGGCAGGCAGGAGAAAAGGTGGCATGGGGGCGTCATTTGAGCTCCCCACCTCAGGTGCCAAAATGTTGTGGTCTGGCCCTGTGGAGGATATCACGGGAACCCTTTCCTTCCCTCCGGCACCCAGAGCAATGAGCCACAGGGAGCAGCCAGCTGCTTAAAGTGGTATGGGGCTTTTCTGAAATGGCTGGCTGCTCTGTGCCTGAGGGTCTGGAGGGGCAGCTTGTGGATCAGATCTGGCTGCCTGGTGGGCCGGATTCAACCTTCGGGCTGTATCTTGCCTGCCTTTAAATCTTTACGCAGGCCTTTAAGAGAAAAGTTTAGCCTGCTTTCAAAAGTTTGGCCTGCTTTTCATAGGTGGGTCTACATCACTCTCAGGCCAAGAAACCCCATGGAAGTCAATGGGAGCTACAAGTGCTCGATATCTTTTTTTGAAAATTAGGTCACTTTTAGGTAGGATCTCAACTCTGCTAGATGCTGAAGGCATTGGCCTGAGTCAGAGGAACAATTGAGCTCATTTCTAACTTTAAGCATGTGAATAATCACATTGACTTCAGTGGAACTAATCATGTGTTTCACTTTAAGCATGTGCTTATGTGTTTCACTGGTTCGAGTGTCCTATACCTTGCGAAATGTAGCTCTGAGGTGTAGATTTAGGAGCCTACATATAGGCATGCAAGTTTGAAAATGCTGACCCCCACTTTTATCTACTTCTCACTTTTGCTTATGTCCCCTCTCTCCTGAGCAAACCCAAATCCATTCCTGAGACTTAAACAGCCATAACTTTGAGGTGTTTTTGAATCTAGATCTGAAACTTCTGACAAAATCTATCTAACCACACTTCCCGGAGGAACACTGGTGCGCCAATGTAACACAGAGCACTATTTGACCCACACACATTTTAAGTTTTTCCATTTCATTTATGTGTATTACCGTTCAAAACAGGGTGGGAGAAATTAATCTCTCTTTAATATTCCTTAGTTAAATTAAAATTGAGCATAAAATAAGCCTTAAAATGTATATTTACATGCATCAGTGCCCTGTTGACCAAGTCCCCGCTCCCATTAAGTCAATTTGCCTTTCCCTATTGACGTCAGTGGAGAAAAAGATGAGGCCTTGCATAGAAAAGGTGTGAATAATTTTTCGTTTTTATCTGTCTCTCTATTTTGGGATGTGTTAAGTGCTTGTTCTCTGTTGCAACATTAACGTCAGTATGTGGAAACTTGGATTGCTAAAATAAATAAGTGAAATGTGATATACAAGCCGAAACACAGAACTGTGTGCACACTGGCCAACAGAAATAGCTTGTTTCACCACTGTGCTGCGCCAGCTTTACATCAGGGTAACACTGTTGTGTTGAATGGACTGGGGTGAAAAGCTGGAGTAAGGCAGTAGTGAATCAGGCCCAAGCTTCATAACAATAATGTGTGTAGGTGTCTATTTTCTGTGCAGGCAAAACTTCTATGGGCTTCAATTTACATGAGCATAAAATTACATCCACGACACTTTTACCAGCCTGCAAGTGTGTGGCGAGACAAGCCTATAATATCATGCAAGGCATCTTTTTCATTATGGGCACAAGCCACTGTCCATTGAAGGCAATGTCTAATCATTGACTTCATTGGGCACTTGAGTAGTCCTTAAATCAATGTATTTGATCTTTATAAATAAGTTTGCGGCTGATCAAACTTATGCTGGTGTCATTCTGCTGCGTAAATGGTTTATACTGGTGTAAATGAGAACAGTTTGAGGTCCATTTAGTTTTATTTTTAAAGCGGGGGGGGACCTTTTTTGGGTCGGGGGCCACTGACTCACAGAAAAATCAGTCAGGGGCCACACACAAGTGAGAAGCCCCTGACTGAGAAGGAGAAAGACACTCCCCACATTCCCCTCACACACCAGAGCCTAGGGGGGCCCAGGCTTGTAGGTTTTGTGTGCTCCAGCCCTGCAGGTGGGTGGCTGAAGCACTAGCACTGAGCCTCAGAGCTAGGCACGCCAGGGGTCACATCCAGCCCCCAGGTCTGAGGTTCCTCACCCCTATTTTAAAGGAAGAACATCTTAGATAGAGGGGCAGTATTAACTTCTGTGGGCTGAATCACCCCTTCCCACAGTAAAGCCAACAGAAGGCACTAGTGTGGAGGAAAACTTCCAGAGGTGCCTCTCCCAAAGTTGCTCTCTCATTGTTGTGTTATGGAGGTCACCTAATGTTGGTGGCAGGCAATCTATGTGTGCCTCCAGTATATACTGGTTTACTGCCTCCCATGTCTGATTCATGCTTCCAATCATTTCCCCTAGCGGCTGCTGTCCTCAGGAGGCCTTAAAGGGATCCCCACGAGGTGGGAGAGGGTTCGGAACACACCTCTTTTGGTAGGCTCCACAGTGCTGGCGGTGCAGGGGGTGATGCATCGCTCTATCCACCATGGGACTAAGTACCCACTCTCCCCTGTGCGACTTGGTCCTCACTGAGGGATCTCCTCAGCGGACCAGCGGGGACTAGGAAGTAGGAGGCAGTTCAGTGGCTATTCCACACCTTCCTGTTGAAGAGATGAGGCCTGCACAGTTTACGTTTATGCGATTCTCAGAGAACATAATGGCTGCCCCATTACTGAATTGCGTAGAACACACGGTCATTTGCTTATATGATTTTTGAAAGGTTTTATTTAATGTTAAAATAAATGCATAAATCAGTGATATGAAAAGAATGGGTTTTTTTGTTGTGTTAGAGCAGTTGGTTATTCTTGCCCAGTGTGCACATGTGAGCTAATGGTAATTTACTGATGTAAATCTGTAACTTTCATGGCAAACTCACAAGATTCCACATGTTGAAGGAGACATAGTTCACTGATTATTTTTAGAGAGGGCTCCAAACCAGAACCAGATTCCTGGAGTGTAGCACCTCTGAAGACAGGGAAAGCTCAAATCCAGTTTTCACTTCTTAGACTTGTGTGAAGTCTGGACCCTCAAATCTGATCATCCCTGGCCCTAGGTAAAGCTGAGGTGCAGGCCTGGACTTAGGCATGGACCTGAGCTCTATAGCTCCATTTATTTTCTGCTGCTCATGAATATTCAAATTCAAGATGCCATCTTAGAGTTAGAACATACATTCTTTTCTACACAGTCATTTGCTAATTTGGTACGTGATTCTGCATTGGTGCTGAGCACCTTCAGCAAGGTGCTGAATGCTCTTGATTCCAGGGGAATTGAGGCTTCTCTACAGTACTTAGCTCTTATACAGTGCCTCATGAGATTGAACCATTATATTGTAAACTCCTTGCAGCAGAAAATGAGTCTTTATGCTTATAAAGTGCCAGGTATGTCTGGCTCTATATAGATCGCATAATAATCTCAGATTATTAAGGAAGAAATAGGTAAGAAAGCTGCTCAGTAGGATACCAAGAAAATGGACCCCACTCCAGCAAAGCATGTCAAGGCAACAACATCTGGACTCCGTGGGACATGGCTGTATTCCTTTGCTGAATCAGAGCCTTAATCTCCCTTCTGCCCAGCATTCAGATCACCACTCCTAAACGTGGTCGTAATTCTAGAAGCTCTAAGGAAAGTCAGGATAATGCTACTGGTTTTATAAATAAGGTTCTTTATTTAGAATATTGTTGAAAACATTCTTGGCAACCACATTGTATAAATATATAAAGTTAAAGTTTGGCACGACAAACCAAGCAACATTAAATATTTAATTCCTTTTTTTGTATTTTTGTTTGGTGGGGTTTTTTTGCAAAGCAACTCTTATTTACAATTATACAAAAAAAGTATTAAAAAAATGGTCCACAACCTTATTTTGGGCAGAGTTAGGGATAGCAATAAGAAAGTCTCATGTCATTACTCCTGCAGTTCATCTGGTTTTTTTCTTTTCAGAAGTGTTACCAGAACTCAAGAGCCAGGTTCCCATGCCCCAAAGCACAGATTATAAACATTGGCCATCTTGTGCTATGCAATTTTACCTCTAGACATATAAAATAGCTTTAGTTCAACAATCAATAAATAATTGCGTGTATTCTGAAGTAATATAGGCTTGAAAAATTAAACATTTGAAGGAATTTTGAGAGAGATTTTAGAACTGGAAAAAGAAATACTTAAGTCTTTTCAAGGCAAGTCTTGGAGCTTGCAGCATGAAGCAGTTTATGTTTGCACAGCAGTGCAGCTGGACCTGACTTTATAATACTTGGTAGATGGGGTTGCTGCTGTTGGTGTCCTGGGGAATCTGGGTGCAGTTGGTAGGAGAGGGGATTTGGGCTCCGCTCTCACTCAAGGTAGCTCCTTCTTGGGGTGAGCAGGGGTTGCCTTCAGCTCCACCTTCCACTGTGGGCAGCACTGGGCAGGTGGAATTATCTGTGGAAATCCTCTCCACAATGCTTGATAGACAGTCCAGGCTGGAGACAACTGAACTCTTTCCATGTTTTGGATCTAAGGAAAGAGGGGGGAAAAAAAGCAATGAATCCAATGCGTAATTAATGCTAAGGGGAGGTAGTTCTTCCAGAGCACCAGCCTTGCATGGCTCTGAGCAGATAAAGATTCAATGGAAATATATACCAAATATATATTATTGAGAGATGCCAATCACTAAAAAAGCAGAGATAATATTTGAACTTGAAAAGTTAGAGAAGGGCCCATGCCTCAAAGTTTGGATGTGAACTACTACCTGCCTGAAGGAATTTGGAGCCAGGGTTTTGGTTCGCTAAAGAAAGGGGGTTGGCTGCTCTGGAGTCAAATGAGAACTTCTCCAAAGTTTGGATAAGATTTTGGGTGGGCCAGTCTCTGTTGCAAAGCAATTTAAAATCTGAAGCATTTTCAGGGATAAATATTCATGCCAAAGCATAGTGTAGGATTTATAATTATTACAGGAAATGCATGTGCAGGATTTCCCCACATCTGCAAACAGAATCATACGGAAACAGTTGGGGGGGGGGAGAGGTGTCCTGTGTCATTGCCCACAGCTTGCTGGGGAGTTTTTCCTTCTGGAGTTTGCTGAGCATAAGTGACAGAAAGAGCAGGCAAAGTTTACTGAGAGTTTCTACCTTCATACACTTGTCTTGGGCATTAAGGCAAATACTCACCATTTGGTGATTCTGTGTAGTAGCTGCTGTCATAGCTATTCCTCCTGCGAGAGCTGCAAGAGGGTCCACTGTACTCTAACTGAAACCAGAAAACAATGGATGCAGCATGTCACCAGTTCAGAAGCAGAATTTTCACATCTCAGTTCATATTTCAGTCTTTGGTCTGTGCCCTAGCCCCAGTTCCTGGTGAATTTTCAGCTTCCCTGAATCAGGGAAAACAACATTTCTGGGAAGATACTAAATCCAGAATATTTTATATTATTGCAAGGATTTTTGCCATATCTGTACTCATGGAAGAAACATTCAAAACATTGTAATGAGGGATTGCTCTGTATCTTTGAATTATGGTACAGAACATTTGGTCCTTGATTTAAGAGAGATGGTGGGGAAAGAACCTAACTCATAATATTTTAAAGGTTTTCCCCCACCAGTAATTTATTTCCATTGTCATTTCATATGGAAAACATCCTGCCTGGAATGGTTTATTTTCACCTTTGGTACTTTTCACACACACATAACGATAGGGATCCTACCACCAAAAGAGAATTCTGTATTTTGAGGAGGGATTCTGTACATAAATCCCTTCCTTCAAATATTCAGTTACAGAAAGGACCAGCCCCTTCTGAGAACTGCCCTCTGTCCCAATGTGTCTAAACATTTTATTGTGATTCCCAACTCAGAGTATTCTGCGTTAGGATGTAGGAGAGGAGGCCAGGGCCAACCATAGCTGTACAATGAGATGATGAGATTCCCCTGGTGTCACTGCACCTGGCTCAGGAGCTTCCCTGCCCTCCAGTTCCCCTTATAAGGGTCAGAGAATATGGAACCCAAGACAGACATCTCCAGCCCTGCACTCCCAGGTGATCAGGAACCTCAGTGCCCCTATGTCCGCAGAGGGGTAACTCATAAGGACCCCAGATCTCCTTGCTGATATCTAAGTGTGCTAGCACCCACTGTGACTGAGGCCACAAAACAGCCCTGTCTCTCACCAACCCTCCTATGAATCCCACGTTTGTTTATGGCACAGCAGATCCTAGCTACTCGCCCCAGGTCTGTCTCTGCAGGGGTCAGAGATAAGAGCAACAGGCACAGGAGAATGGGGGGTCCCTGGCTCTCCTCTCCCAGAGAACCCATTCGACACTTTGCTCACGGGGGGCGGAGGGAAGGGTTGGAAGACGGACTCCCCGCCCAGAGGCGCCCCCACATCTCCCCTCCAAGGGACCAGGGTACATCGGAGCCCCTCCCCCCCGGATCAGGGTACAGGAGGGAGGTCACATCTCCCATCCCAGAGTCCGGGTACACGTGGGGACTCCCGTTTCTTTCCTAGGGGGCCGGCTCTGGGGGGGGGGGGTCCTTTCCCATCTCGCGGCCCGCG